TCCATTCTGGTCTATGGTTTGTTATATTATTCCAAGAAGCCCTTTCTAATAGAGGTTCATGTGATACGTAGTTTATCCCCCAGCTTTAGTTCCACTCATTACATTCCATCGCTGCTATCATTTTGTGGTCTGACTGCTCATGCACATGGTTGGACCTCTCTCACTGTTCTTGTGCAGATGGTGTGCGCATGCTGCACACACAGGAGGTAAAACGTGGTCCTTTTTAGTCTGTAGTGTTTTTTTTTGGCATATTGTGGCAGTTTAAGCCCCCTGTTAAAGGGGACTGGGTACATGGTACAACTTTTCAAAGACTGATCCAATACCATGACCCTTAAAATGTTGAATTAGGTGCAGCCTAGGGGGGGGCTTTTTTCTTCTTAACTTATTTTACAATATGAATCAGAACTTTAGGCAGTTCTTTGCTATATTTTGTGGTTTTGTAATTATTCCCATGATCTCTCACGATACCTGATCTTATAGGATATTTGACAAAGCTGTTGCAGAATCACACAGTGTTTGCGTGTGACGGAGAACACCTGATCCTGCAGTGCCCTCGTCATTCTACGGTGAGCGTACAGTCTGCGTTTTATGGGCGTTCGACACAGGTCTCCCCAAATTGCACCTCCTCCTCTTCCGAGACAATGCAGAGGTCTAATGTGAGCTGCATGGCACTAACTGCCTTTCAGGTAGGTCTGTATTCACCGACACAGCAAATGGACGGAAAACCTAAAATGATATTATTATAAAAACACTGACAACGTAGTTAAATACATTTTATGTTCCTAGATTTTTTTTATCTAAGGATCTATAAAGGTAGTGTCTCTGTATAAAATGCAGATGAAATAGAATATGCCAAAATAACTTATTTCAGCTGTTTGCTTGCAGAGAGACCATGTAGTATGAAAAACATGTAAAAGAAAAGAGGGCCATATCCTAGTGCAGTCTGCTTCAAATATTACATGTGAAACTTTGCGGGCATGATAAAACACTCACATTCACAGGAACCATTATATGTGGGCTATGAAAAATCTGCCTTTAACCCCGTAACGACACATGATGGAAATATTCAGTAATGATTCCCTTTTATTCCAAAAGTTGGGTCCTTAAGGGGTTAAGGGTGGCGATCTTCCCCATCGCAAAGTTTTTCTGCTTTGATGGTAATTATATATATATATATATATATATATATATATATATGTGGACTATATCGATGTATAGGTGCATACTGCTGGGACAGAATAGCATATATAATAAACATAGCAGATATATCTGGCTGGTGTTTGATTATATGTATATATCTATATTTAAACACTCTATCTACAGCACGTATGTATTTCTACACACTATCCTGTCCCTGTTTTCACAACGGAGAAAGTCCTATTAGTGACTATATTTTCCTTCCTGTAAGTAATGCATAATACAAACACCAGATAAGATTAAATGGGTTGGCAGGACTGAACGCCTTTGCATTGAGACTATTGTCTACACATCTACGCACGGTTCCCGACACTATAAATATATACATTGTTGCGTGTTCCCAAAGTGCTCACAAGATTCTGCCACTCTGATTGTTTCAGAAAGTACTGGACGAATGCCAGAACCTCCGATCCTGCCAAGTCCTTGTGAACAGCCGTGTGTTTGGGCCAGACCCATGTCCGGGTATAAGCAAATATCTTCTGGTTTCCTACAAGTGCAAACCTAGTAAGTAATGACTTGTAAAATTGTGTGCGTGTGTGTGTGTATTATTTTTTAATTTTCTAATTCAGTAAATGAATGGTGTTTAAAGACAAAATGAAAGAATTAATTACTGTAGTATAAAAAATGTTCACATGGAGAATATTTAAGGTTTTACTAATTTTTGACGTGTAACAGCAGTGCAAAAATAATTATAATATTAAAATATAATATTCTACTAATTATATTATTAATTATTTTTGGGGGAAATTAAATTGACAATATAGGTTATATATCAGTCTTCTCCACTTATTATGCTTCCTCTTGAGCATTAATTATCTATGGCTCATTAAACATATTTGAGTGAGGTCTTTATGCTAAACCTACCAGATAAGGACAGAGCTTATACTAATGATCGACAGGGAGCTTAGGTGCTCAGTACCAGAATAGACCTAAATACTGTGTGTGGAGTTCTATATTTTAATTTTATTTTTCAGACTGCATAAACACACATATATGAACATAAATTAAGAGAAAATTAAAAGTGAATTTCAAATTTTATTAATTCAAAGTAGCCAAACAGCAGTGCTTTTCGTTTGTCTGCTCTGGCCTTAAAGGGACAGTATATTCACTGGAACAACTATAGCTTAATGTAGTCGTTCTCGTGTCTTGTCTGTCCCTGCAAGCTTGTTGATGTAAATGCTGCCTTTTCAGGGAAAGGGCAGTGTTTACATTACTGCCTATGAACACCTCCAGTGACAGTCACTCAGATGTCCACCGGAGGTGCTTTCAGGGTCACATTGACTTTCAGCGTTTCCACACTCTGCATAGAGGCGCTGAACGTTCCTCATAGAGATGTATTGATTAATTGCATCTCTATGAGGAGGTGCTGATTGGCGTGTGATATCTTCCAAGGGGGCAGAGCAGGGGCAGGGCCAGCCGCAAGGAGACCTGCACGGTGTTGGAAATACATGAATATGACCAGCTTTTTATTGGGGGTAAGTGTCACCTAAACTGCTATTTATTTCCTGACACTATAGTGTTCCTTTACATTTTAGATTCAAACTTTACTGAATAATGCTGTACATATAGGGGACGAGTAAACATAATATTCCATTATGACATATTATTCCAATAAATCCAGGGAAATGGTCTGTATATTATATAAGATTGCCAAGCTATGCTGTGTTGAGCTGCTTATACATTCTCTGACTTCCTGTCAAAAAACAGTGTTACTTTCAAATCTCTTCAGAGAACTGGGGGTAATAATCTAGTAATAAACTGCAAATCCAATATTTTTTTTAAATGTAATTTTCTGTGAAATAATCCGTGGTCTGCTCACACCCCTCAAATGCTGATGCTTAAAAGTATGATCACAAACGGGTACAGCCTGAAGATTTCGGCTGTGTGTAACAGGAGTTATGGTCAAGCAGCAAGCTGCCTATTTGTTTCATAAAACTGACTTTTGACAAAATGTTACCTGAATCTAATGAACTTTCTGAGTCTGTGCCCCTTCTTATGCAGTAATGAAGCACTCAGTATGAGTAATTTAAGCTGATCTCGAACCACAGCCAAGCAGCCTTCAGATTCAGGTCATTACTAAGCACTCCACAACTGACAAAGCTTTGGAACAAACCGTTTGTGTGCTTTAAAGAGCAATAGGCTGCTGGCTACTGCAGGGGGCCACCGGTGGATGTCACATTTTTAACTGCCAAGGTCATTAAAAACATGGTCACATGCGTTGGTAAAATAAAGCCAGTTACTTTTAGTTATTTTAACAAAAGAGAGAGAGAATAGCCATTTCGTAAATTAAATGCCTGTTCCGTGTATGAATGTTTTTAAACCATTCAGGGTCAGGTTGACACATTTCTGAATAGAGGGCAATGTCCACATTGGGAATATTGAGTTCCACACCTCCCAAACAGACTGTGTAACCCTGGTCGGTGCATTTGGTAAAATAACTTGGAATAGAAAACTCATAAAAGGAGAACAGTTAGGATCTAGTCATGGTTGAATCATGGCTACAGTCTCTAAAAGATACCACAGATAGCGGCTCCCATTTTCCCAAATGATGCATGAAACTAGAACGATTAGATTCTTCTCTTATAGTTAAAAACATACACCATGCAGGAGTTTTAATGCAGTGCTGTGCAGTCACTATTTTGTGAGTAATCTGGTCAGCCAAGGTTTGTGTACAATTTGCAATGTGTCTCAGTTTGTACTTTTCTCAACTATTGAATGGCTTTAAAGGAGCACTTTGTACCCATAAAGCACTTCCGCTTGCTATGATACTTTTATGTCTAAGGAAAATCCCATTTAAATGGCCGGTTAAAAAGTGCAGATTTTTTTTTGAGAAATTGGCACTTTTATGAATTAATTAAGAAATTCTTCACTGGCTCTCAATCAGAGCGTGCCTGCCTTCTCCTACATGTGCCAGTAAGCCTGTGAATACGTTTGTGCCTGGGGCTCCATCTTACCTGTCCTCGGTGGCCCCTGCTTCCTTCTTCCCAGCTGCAGCTTCCTTCATGAACCCCCCTACCATCACCACGTGTATACGCACTTGTGATTTAGAATTGGTTATTATTACATCATGAGAGAGTGAAAGTCTTGGCTGGACTGACTTACCTGTAATTCAACAACCTCATATTGCCAAAATGCATCATAACACGGTCACATCAAGAACAGGAGGTAGCACTTCAAGTTAGAATAAACATTGATTTATAAAGAGAGGTTAGACAGTAACACGTGTATTATATGAGACATCCGTATTTATAACAAAACATAAGTCATCTGCACGCTATCCAAAATCCCTATTCACATTTAAATAACTTTTTTTTTAGTATCACTCTAATGGTCATTAAAGTGTAAGCTCACTTGCAGCGTCAAGGCAAACCTCTTAAGTGAGTCCTTCGCCAACAGCTACAGGTTGTTTTGTTCTATATATTTGGGCTGATTAAAAATATAGGCATTGCTGCCCAAGAGTAGTAGGATTTGAGTGCAGGATTATTTCTGTTTTTTTTTTTGTTTTTTTTTGTTAGGATCCAGCCTGTTAGAGTATTGTCGAGTATTGATCATATTTTTACTGAATAGCACTGGTTTTGAGCTGAATTGAATTAATCATCCAGGACAATATTGTGGTTTTAAAAAGTGTCCACATTAACAGTTGGACACCCTGCATGCCATTAAATGAAACCAATTCCTAATTTGGCTAGACCTATGCAGTTCATTATTGGAAAGCTACAGGTGGAATGTGACATTTATAAGTTGCTGTTGAACATGAAGTTTAAAAAAAAATAATAATTAGTGTGCCGTGGAAATGTTTGTCTCATTGGCCCAGAAAAGTTGGGGAACCACTAGCCCAGACGGCGGCCATGAGCTGCAGCCTCACACATTACCGCTGCAAATGAAAATGACAGAAGGGGATTTGGGATGTATTGACCCAGTACTGCAGGAGAGCCTGTGCAAGCGCTGCATTTTGAATTTATGTAAATGCTGGTAGCCCTCCCTCCCCTCATCTCGTGTTTTTTTTCGGACGTAATATGACCCACTTCGTTATGATGAGCTCGATGAATGCTATTTGATGCTGCACAGGTCACACTTGGAGCATGCAGGGGTATATATTTTCACACCTCGCAACTCCAGCAGCTTCCAAAAGTAGGCATCGGTAGTGCCATCCACACTGCACACAGAAGGCCATATAATCGTTTTTACCCCCAAGCCAACAGTTGCCCTGGGCAGTGACATACACACGATCCATGGGGCCCCGGTGCAGAAATTGATCCGTGGCCCCCACGGGCAGTGGGCTGCTACACATGGCTGCAGACCCCTGCGACCGTGATATGCAGATACACATACACTTTAAGGTCTACTATAGGCACTCAGATTACTTCAATGAAGTGGTCTGGGTGCCAAGTCCCTCTAGTTTTAACCCTGCAGCTGAAAACATAGCAGTTTCAGAGAAACTGCTATTTTTCACTCAGGGTTAATCCAGCCTTTAGTAGCTGTCTCACTGACAGCCGCTAGAGACGCTTCCGCGATTCCGCTGGATGTCCATAGGAAAGCATTGAGTAATGCTTTCCTATGGGTGGTATGAATGCACGCGCGGCGCATACGCATTTGGAGCTGAGAGGTGGATCGGTAACCTCATAAACACTCAAATTTTTTTTCTTAAATTTAATCCCCCAGCCTCCCTACCTTTGGGAGTGCTGAGGGGATTCCTGCTTTTCCTGGGGTCCAGTGTGGCTGCTGGGCGGCCGGTCCAACATGCGGCGAGGGAGCATACAAAACAATATGCTGGGGCTCGGAAAATAAGGGTGATATTACTGTGCTAATTAGTTCAATGCGTGACTCCGAGGGATATTTAACTTTTCTTTT